TGTAAATTACTTTTATTACATATGAAATTTACTTTTATCATATACATAAATTACTTTTAAATTTGACTAAATTACTTCTTAGACATATAAAAGTAAATTCAATAAAGTCTAAAAGTAATTTACATATATTAGAAAAGTAACTTAAAAATAAAACGGAAGTAACTTTGTCACGACATTAGAAGTAAATTCGTTGTAGGGATAAAAATATGACTCCATCTAGAAATTAAATTTAATCAGCACAGATCAGCACATGTAAGTTTAACAATTTTTAAAAGTAACTTCAATGTTAATTGAAAGTAACATTTGCATGGTTCAGAAGTAACTATATATAAATTTGTTTAATCACCGATTGTTTTTTTCCTTTCATTTTTGTTTTAATGTAGAATGAGAAAAGAAGATAAAACCTTTGATGGGTTGTAAATAACATTGATGGAATAACTAATGAGAATTAATCATAGGTACAAGATGTAATGGATACTTCCTGATACTTTCTAACATGTAATAAATTACTTTTAAATTAATAAAATGTTTGAATATATTCAATATGGATATTGTCGAGGAATGATCCTCTCTAGCGGGAGATCGTGAGACCCTCCTTTCGTGAGTTCGGCCGGGGGAAGAAGCTCGCCTCTAGAAATCGCGTATCCGTCCCCAAGGCTCCTAGCTAGCTCGCACACAACCAAATTATACAGGTTTGGGCCGCTATCAAGCGTAATACCCTACTCCTGTGTATAGGATTTAGACTGAGAGTTACAAGGGTTCCTAAACTCGGGAGAACACTCTTAGTTCCCTCCTCCACAAGCTCAGGTTTTCTGAGAGTCGTCCCCTTTCTCGGTGGGCAAAGTCCTCCTTTTATACCTCAAGGGAATACCACATGCACCGCCTCTACCTACTCTTCTTTCGGGTAGGGACCCACCCTATCTTGACTGGAACTCGACCCGTGCCTTCGCCTGGAAGCTAAACCACAGCTTGTCCTTGAGCGGGGCCCAGCGCCGTCCCTCGCCTGACACGGGGGACAGCCCTGTCATTCCCTCATTAATAGGTGAAGACTTGTGGTGGCCGCCGTCCGAATGACCCCCCGATGGGACGAATCATACCTACCTCCACTCCGCTGGAAGCAGATGCGACGTGGGAGCACGGTTGTCCGTCCAGTCAGACGTGACCGGCGTCAGGCCGGTCACAGACTGGTCATTCTTGACCATCGCGCGTCAGTTTAGCACGCCGCACATCTGCCCCACTACATTAAATGCGACAGGGGGCAGTTGGGGCGTTGCGCGCATTAAAGGAAGTTCAGCCTGGGCCCCCTCCTCGCTTGCTCCCCCCGCCAAACGGCGGCTAGGCGAGGGCCTCGGGGCAAAGGAGTGCAAGGGCCCGAGGGGCATGACGTGGCACCCCGAGGCCCCGACCCCCCGGCCGCTCCTGCGGTTCGCAGAATGCGGGGACAGGACCAGGCAGTAGGGACACGTGGCAGGATGGGAAGGTAGATTCCCCTCACTTCGCATATCCCCGGGCCCATATCTCCGACATATATTGTTTTGTCACATATTTTGAGTGGAGTACAATGATGCAAATAGATCTTAAAAACAATATGTGATTTAAAATATATAAGTTATTAAAGAGATTAAAAAAAGATACATACTATTGTATTTTTCAAGTTGAAAGGAGACAGATGGAGTGGTAGCTGGTTTAGACAAACTAGTTACCACTAGCTGTGTAGTCATGTCCTTTGAAAAAAAGGCATGCATTAAAGTTACATTAATTTTGTTATAAGTTACTTCTATAATATATGTAAATTACTTTTAGTTTTTATTGAATTTACTTTTATATATATAAGAAGTAATTTAGATATATATAAAATTAATTTGTATTTTTTTATCAAAATATAATCATGTGAGATCTTATTGTAAAGATTTAATTGTTACGAACACAACGGTGTAATCGGATGAGTGGTTTAAGAGAAAATTTTATTTGAAGTATAGGTGGACATGGTCGCTTATAGATGGAGTGGTAACTGGTTTAGATAAACCAGCTACCACTAACTGTGTAGTCACGTCCATACAATAAAATATGACGAAATAAATTCAAGGTTATGCTATATAAATTATGAATTGTCTCCCTTTTAACCTTGCACTTCCTGGTTGAAAATAATTGTTATCTGGATAAGGACACAATCTTAAAAATAACTTAACTTTGATCAATATTTTCTATAATAATATATATATAAAATATCAAAACATACGTACGGTCATCATGTTTCTAAGGCAAATGTTTAAAAAATTATTCATAGTCAAAGTTTTAAAGTTTGATATCAGTCTTGTATAAAACGAAAGGGAGTACTTATTTAATTGAGAAGTTGATGGGCCTCTAAACTATACGTCAAATAAAGAAATGAACAATAAATATTGAGTATTTAAAATACAGTAATTACCATAATTAGAAAAGGTAATTTCCATAAGTATGTAGTAAAATTCAGAAACGGTCAGTAACTCAGTATACATCAAAATCGTCTCTGTTTTCAATATTTCTGTACTTTTTATCATTTCTATCTTTTTGTTTTTGTTTTTGTTGGTAACAATTTCCACATTACTTTACCAGTAAAAATTGAAAAACAGCGTTAGTCGGTCATGAATATTTGTGAGCGTTTTCATCCTAACATTCCATACGTCTGGTTAAATAGAAATGCTTACATTTTGGCTGGAACATAGTTAGTAAAAACAAGGGTAAATAAGCACTCTATGAAAAAGTTATCTCCTCCGTTTCACAATGTAAGTCATTCTAGCATTTCTCACATTCATATTGATAAATATTTTTCCATATCAATATGAATATGAAAGATGCTAGAATGACTTATATTATGAAACAGACAGAGTACTCACTATCAGTAGCTGCAACAACGAAAAGCATCTAGCTAGTTTGATTCAGGGTTGACAGTTTTGGCTTGGTACGTTAGTAGCACTTTTTTACAAGCTCAGGCTGGATCATGAGCCAAACAAGCCAAGGCTCAGCCAGGCAGCCAAGCACAACAGTTGTCTCAACGCTCATTATCCCAACATCTTTGGTCGTAAAATTTCTTCCTATCTACCCCGGCGCCACCAATCTCGTTTGAGCCACTAGTGCGTTTCTCGTCTCTTGCATCGCCTCCTCTCGCACTTGCACCGTGAATTCTCAGGATTCAGATTCAGTGATATAGGATAGGCATGTCGCAAGAGATGATATAGGGTAAATCTTGGCCCTCCAAAATAAATCTAACGGTTGAGATTCGTCCACGTTATCATGAGTTAAAAATTTATCCTATGTCAAGATTCATCCTAATATCACCTTGTGACATGCCTACTGACATCACACCGCTGCTCTGTCGTGCCTGACACTGACATCACACTTCTCCTTTACTACCTCCGTCCCAAAAAAAGACAAACCTTGGTTTCCGTGTCTAACGTTTGACCGTCCGTCTTATTTGAAAAAATTATGAAAAAAATTAAAAAGACAAGTCACGCATAAAATATTAATCATGTTTTATCATCTAACAACAATGAAAATACGAATTATAAAAAAATTTCATATAAGACGGACAGTCAAAGTTGGACACGGAAATCCAGGGTTTGTCTTTTTTTGGACGGAGGGATTACCTCGCATCATCCCGTGCCCTGCCGGTTGTTAACTGCCTGCTATGTACAGTATATACTAAATTACCTTGTGTCATCGTTGTTGCTATCCAGCATACCTCCGTCCGCCGATCACCTGCCCGTAGCAGCACAAGGAGACCAGCACTAGCCGCAAGTGAGTCATGGTGCCGCCATAGCCTGTCGCTGGCCACTCCTTGAGACCTTACCTTGCCTATCTCTAGATTGCCATTCCCTCACTGGGCTCTGGCTCGCAAGCTAAACGAGCTCGCTAGAGTTAGAAAGCGAGCCGAGCAGAGTCCGTTCAGTATCATAGCGAGCCAGAGCGAGTTGAGCTGATTCGATATCCAGTAGCCCTACAGCAGCAACATTAGGGATGAAAATGGTCCAAAAACCCTCTACCATTTTTATTTTCATTTTTTTTTCTTGAAAACAAAATCGGAACGATAGACCCAAAATTAGTAACGATATCGATAATATCGATATATCAGAAACTGGACCGTCTGAACGAAATCTACCGATATTAATTGTAAGTCGAAAATTCATCTCGGAAACAACAATCTGGCATAATCACACATTTAACTATGCATGAAGATGACTTTATAACTTCATTCTTACATCATCACACTCCACATAACACCGTAATATGATTACTAGTGATATGATGATAAGTTCAACGAACAATATAAACAAAGTTGAACAATAATTCAACATTGATAAGTTGAGGAGATCAAATTTCAACAAAGTCTATATGCCACACCCTAGAGTTAACATTGTTTTTCCTGACCACTTCCCCTTCCTAATGGGTTGCAAGCTTTCTTCATTCATGAGCTTTTAATGGGTTGGGTTGGCTGAGCCGCTAGAGAACTTTCGAAATTTTGATGGAAATTATCGGACAAATGCAGTTACGAGAAAACGGTCCGAAAAACCACTATCCTAATTACGCTACCATTTCTAGAAGATATTCTAATAATTACTAATACCGATTGAAACGGTCAGTATAAACCGGTAACGACAGCCAAAAATCTCGGAAATTTTCGTACCGTTTTCACCCCTAAACAGCATACTAGTACTACATCCGTCCCAAAATAATTGTAATTCTCTGTTGTTTAGCATATATTAAGGTTTGAGAAGAAATACTATGGTGTCCCTCGTTAAATGGTGTTTATATCTACCCTATAGTTAAACAAATAGTTTCACTCATTCTTTCATTCATCACTCAATGATTCAGATCGTCTGTGTAAAATCGAACGATTGAGATCGATCCCACCTCCCAAAATCCGCCGATCCCACCTCCTGGTGAAAACCGAACGGTCCAGATCGATCAGCAGCCTCCCACCTCCATCTACCGCGTGATCTCCCCCAATCACGCGACTCTCACGCGCCGCATCCCCCTCCGGGCTCCGGCCCTCCCATCCTCTCTCTCTCTCTCTCTCTCGCTCGCATCGCCTACCTAGACGCTGCCGCCGTCGCCTCGCCTCCCTATCACGCCCATCCCCTCCCTTCCTCACTCTCGCGCCTCGCTGCCACGCCGCGCCGACGCCGTCGCCCCGCCGCCGTCGTCGCCGTACGCCATCCCCCCGCCGCCGCCGTGCATCATCTGGCGCCGGTCCCCCCCTTCCCCCTTCTTCGCCCTCCCCTCGCGGCGGCGGCGTAACCGGCGCCAGTATCCCCCTCCCCTCGTGGCGGCGTCAGAGTCGGCTCCGGTGCTCCCCTCCCTCCTCCATCCCCTTTCGACGGCGTTGGGGATGGTGGCAACGCCGGTAGGGGTGGCGGTGTGAGGTGCGGGTAGAAAGGAGCTGGTGACGGGCGGGGAAGAGGTGTCCCGATCTGCACCGACTCGATCTGCGCGAGCCGACCCCGCGCCGGATTGAGCAGGGTATGAGGGGAGAGGACGGCGGCATGGGAGGAGGAATAGGACAACGCCGATGGAGAAAGGGGTGAGGTTGGCCGGCGGGGGATGCTGGCCTTCACCCGCACTTTGATCACTCGCTCAAAATCAAATGCATTGATAATGAATGTTCATGCAGCAAGAACTGTTGATTACTGAACACTCTGTCATGTTTCTTGGTTCTTTTGTGCTTTTTTCAGGAGAGGAGTGAGAGGCTGTTCTACAAGCTCCTGATCGACAACGTGGAGGAGCTGCTGCCGGTGGTGTACACGCCGACGGTCGGAGAGGCATGCCAGAAGTACGGCAGCATCTACAGGCGGCCACAGGGCCTGTACATCAGCCTCAAGGACAAGTGCGGTTTTCTTGCGAGGATTCTGTTTTCCTTCTGATGTTGAGGTTGATTAGGAATTTGCAGCCTGACAGGAATCTGTGTTTGTTGGTTTGCTTGTTGGTGGATTCAGGGGGAAGATCCTTGAGGTGCTCAAGAACTGGCCGGAGAGGAGCATCCAGGTGATCGTCATCACCGACGGTGAGCGCATTCTTGGCCTTGGAGATCTTGGTTGTCAGGTACTGCATCTTTTCCCCCATTTCCTGCCCTGATTTTGCTGTCATGAATATGTCGAAAAGATTTAGCTGTGATGATGTATGTTTACCTGAAAGCATTTGCTGATGTGTGCTGCTGTTATTATGTACAGGGAATGGGTATTCCTGTCGGCAAACTGTCTCTGTACACTGCCCTAGGAGGAGTTCGCGCGCCTTGCCTCCACCTTCACCCGTCTGCCACCATCATCGCCGCCATCACCTCCGTCCTCGCCCCCTCCCTCACGCATCGTTTCCCTCTGCGCTTCGCCTTGTCTCCCCTGCGCGTCGCTTCCCTCCACCCTCACCGCATCGCGCCCCTCATCATTCCCTCGTGGGTCACCTCCTTCCACATCGCTGCATCTTCTGGATTTGTTTGCAGCCGCCCTCTTGCAGATCATCCCTGATCCATTCGGTTAGCGTCATGCCGCCGCCGGATTGCCCCGTCGACTGGTTTCCCTCACACCGTCATGCCTCCTTGCCCTCATGATTCACACGACGAGCGAGTTCCTGTCGATGAGCCAGCAAGATGAGCATTGTCGCTGTCGCATCACCGCTGGACAAGTGGACAACCCCAAAACCAGGTAATTGTTCTCCATTAATTTGATCTATAGTTATTAGTACTGTCTGAGGCATCAAGCATAAGAATTAGCAGTAACCATTCAGAATGCAAAAAAGAGCTCACCAATGAAAAACAATGTTCTTTCTTTTAGGGTATCATTGTCATAATTAGCAGATTTCCTCCAATCAAGGTCTCGACAAATTCTACATATGGGCTCAGGTTCTGCTAACGTGTTCCACACCATCTTTTTACTATACAGCACTTACAAACACAACGATAAAGATATTCTGTAGTTGTGTTCTTAACATATGTATTTTATCTTATTACGTAACTTAGTTTTCTGGAAATGGAAGATGTGGGGGTGGAAGCAAGGGTAGAGTGATGCAAATGCTTCATCGGGCCACGATCGTCTGTCGGCCTTCTGGCTGTTTTTGCACCTGTCCTGTCCACCGCTGACGGCGCAAGGGAACTTCGGTGAGCTGTAGCAGGTAATTGGACGAGCTGAATGGCTTATGCATCGACAGATTATAAAGATGATCTTTACCTGGTTATACACATGCTTACATGATGGAATTTTTTTTTATGATGTAACTTTAGTCGAAAATACGTACAAATGTCGATGAGATATAAAGAGAATCCACCAAATTTATTATTTGGTGTACTTGTGGAGTATATTATAGAATGAGAAATATGACCACCAAATTAGCATGAATATTTTTCCTTCTTGACCTAAGCCATAACTTTGGTGTTATGACTTAAATGAATTACGATACTTGCCTATGCCAGCAATGGTCCAATGTGTGGTCCAGTCTGAGTTTGTGTCAGATATATAACCTGAATCAAGGTGAATGGAAATATTTAGCTGGAGTGCTGTGCAGTATATGCAGAGTTCACACAATTTAGACGGTTGGAGTTTAGGCATCCTGTAAACTCCCAATTTCATTGATCAAGTGTTTCTTTTGTAAAAGCCTGAACTCCAAAAATTGATTTTTAATCATGGATTGAACTGAACTATCAAAATGGATTTGCTACAAATTTCAGTATTTCACCTGCTCTGTGCAGTCATTTGATGTTCGATGTAACCTTCTAAAAGAAAACATCTTGCCTAGGGTCAGAGAAGGCAAGTATTTTGGATTCATCATGTGTAGGATTTGATGTTCAGGTCGTGCTTGTTACAACGTTGAGTAGTTTTCTGTTGGTTTAACTCTGGAAACACATAATTTCCTGTTAGTTACTACTTTATTCCTTGTGTCAAAAGGCTATGATATAAGACTCTGTTTTGCAGGTAAGCAACAAGAAGCAGTGATGGATTAGCTTTCCCTTTAAGGCAGGTAATAGCTGACTTGAGTTAATTTATTAATTGGTGGATTACTCATGCAACACCTGCCAGTTTCCATTATTCTTTTATACTTTTTTATTGAAAAAAAAGGAATTTTCTTACTTCTGTCAATAAATATAATACTATGGACAAGCACTTTTGTTTGATTGTATTAAAAGAAATACTAACAAATGTTAATGAGATATAAAGAGAATCCTCCTATCCAGTTTACTCCTTTTGTTGGTGCTATTTGATTGTGACTTAAACGGACCGATGATGTAAATTCATTTGTTATACACTTACTCTACTCTGCACAATAGGTCTCTGATTAAATGCCGCTGAGGGAGGGTTTGTTCTGGTTGATGAATTTTCAAGCAAATCTGTTAATGATCTTTACAAGGTTTCTATGTGTTTTTATGTGTTTTCTGTGAGATCTTTACAAGGTTTCGGTTTGGGGTACAAATTCACATTCGATCTGGATTTCATTTTGGTTTTCAAGTGAAGCAAACAAGCCAACATAAGGCCCTGCCAGGTATGAGTTTGCTGCTCCTACTGTATGTGCATGTAGCAGAGGGCGAGAAGGAAGAGAGAAAAAAGTAGAGCAAGAAAATATTTAACATTGGAATTGGGAGATGTTAGTATGGAATTGTGATCAACCGTACTGTTGTGCACTGCTTTAGCTGAAACCATCTGAGTGACAGGAGAGGAACTGGAAGTCGTGCATTGATACAAATGATATTTTTGTGATTTGTAGCCTGAGATCAAATAAAATTTAGCAACTCAGCCATATTTCAGAGCCTGCTTCACTTAGGCAATGTAAACTTATAAAGGCCTTCACCTAGCCAATACTATTTATTTTATTTTTATTCTCACAATAGAAATGATATTGTTTTCGATGCCCCTAGGTGGCTCACACCAGTCTCTGCCATTGCCAGTTTGGGTGCCTAAATGAGGCCGGTGCCGTTGAATGACAGCCATATTTCCAAGGTGAGTATTTGAAACCTTCTCTCTTGTGGCAGGTTCATTCGGTTATGTATTTCGTTCAGCTGAGGAATTATCCTTTGATCATGGCCGTTATAAATGAAATAAAAGCTGAACTGCACTATGTTCAAGATATAATTTATATACTTGGATAGCCATGATTCTGATTTATATTTTAGGGGGGGGGGACCATGCTTCTGAAATTTACCATCTGGAAAATGTCCTTGACATTGCTTACTGTACACTATGACTTCCCACAAAAATACTTGTGTATTTTCTAGCCTTCATAATTATTTCCCACAAAAATACTTACTGTATATGTTTCTCAAATTTACCATCTGGAAAAAAAAATCCCAAACATTGTTTACTGTACACTAAGATTTTCCAAAAAATACTTATGTATTTTCCAGCCTTCATAATGATTTCCCACAAAAATACTTACTGTATACTGTATACTAAAATTTCTGAGTTTAACATTGCAGTCTTCTGAATTGATACAGGACTCACAGCTGATACACTGAGTGCGACAAAGGTGAGTCATGTGCGGCAAATTTGAGGATCATGTATATTTTGGTATTGCTGGCAGGCATAAGTCTCACCATTGAGCGAAACACCACATTCATAAGTTTAACGGCTATTTATCTAAATTCAATTTTGCAAAAATGAAAGTTTTGTTTAATGGCTGAAACTGCACAGTGCTACTATGATCTCAGAACCAAAGAAATTAATTGTCTGAGTTTCCTACCAGCAAATTGATTTGTTCAAAGATTTAGGTGGTCACGGGCCATAATAAATCATTGAGAATATGTCATATAACATTCAGTCATGTATCACAAACAATTTGATTTTGACAAAATTAGGTAACACATAAATCAATGTATGCAAACATCCAGATACCTAACACTATTGACTGCTTTTTTGTTTCGAGGGGGCTCACTGCTTATATTTTATTGAGCTTAGCTATATTGTATTTCTCTAAACTGCATAACCATCTCACTGCATAGCCCATATCTATATACCACCGTGACAATAACAGCTACATCTCTACAATCTTACTACTGGTAAGAAATGAAGGATTGGTGGTACATAAAGTGCCTCAAGTTGATTGAAACAAGCAACCATTTGTAGATCCAAACAATATCGTCGTTGTTATTGTCATACATCTTGTTTGTATAACTTACATATCTTTCAGACTCAAGGTGGCGAAGTTTGATCTCTAAAATAGCAATCGGTGTTTTCTGCACTCGAATATGTAAATAAGCTGTAGTGTGTCAGATATTACAATGGTGTTCATTATAGAGCACACTTGCCGACAACATTTTGCAGTGGGCTTATCTATGAATATTTTTTTTATTCATCTGTTGCATGGTTACCAGTGTGCTGTATGTTTCATTCAATTCGACCTGGATTTGTAGGCACGTCTAAATGGTTCATGGTTCATGAGCACGTATTGTAAACATGAGTTGGATTACTAATCCTAAATCTTGTCGATTAGGTATGTATGGATCAAGAATTGGATTTGGAGATATAATCAATAACCAAACAAGTGTAGTGAAACAGGAAGTTCATTATATGTATTACTATTGATTCCTTAGAAAAATAAGATCATATAAAAAACATGAAACATTAAATATTAAAAGTTATTAAAGATAGCGTTTAGCACGGGCGTATTACTAGTGAAAAAAGGCCCCTAAATATCCATCATCTAACTCTCTGCCACCGTACATGAAAAAAATAACATATGTAATTTGGATTTCCTATCGTAACGCACGAGCATCTTTACTATTCTTAAAAGAAAGAGAAAAGAGAGAGATGAAAGGAAAATGTTCACTTGAGGTCTCTTATCTTGTCGTTGAGTTTCAAAACTGTCCATGAACTAAAATACCAGATATAACAGATCCCTAATCTTGCAAAACCAGGTCACATTACGTCTCAAGGCACTATTGCTCCCTGGTTTTAGTGATGCGGTGGCTGAGTCAGCGTGGGGCCATATGGGTCCCACATATCAACCGATAATCTTCTCCCACGTATCTCCCCTTTCTTCCCGTCTCAACCCAAACTTCCAGGGCAGCCGACAAGAGGTGGGGAGAAGAGTGGCGACTGACGGCTGCATCATGGACCTACATGGTGAAGAGCGCAAAGAAGCGAAGTAGGAAGGGCTCCTGACACGTCGTCCCCTTGGGTTACACTGTCACATCGTTGCATGGCAGCTCGCTGCGCATCTGCGCCGCGTCCGTATCGTGGTCATATGTCAGCCACACCGTTGAGATTGGCGAGAGGATCTCCAAGAGTTGGGAGATGGAGTATCGTTGCGACGCCTGAGCATAGTCGCGAGCATCACTGACTCCATGAGTGTTCGTGCATGCACACGAAGAGGAAGCCGGACACTGAATCGCGGGAGAGGTGTGTGGTGGCCGATGACCAGCAGGGAGAAGGGTGGCGGTCGTTGGGCGGCGGCGGTAGGTAGAAGCCTGACGATGGGTGGGAGAAGGCTGGCAGCCAACAAGAAGCTTGGCAGCGGCGGGGAGAAGGGCGCATGCGTCGGGGACGATGCGACCGCAATGTGGTGTAGATGAAGTTGACCTCGAAGACGATGTGGCGGAACCGCGTGTGTGCCTCTGCAGACGAGAGGCGGAGCTCGGGGACACCTAAACACATCAGCTTTTGAGCAGCTCGACGGGGGGCGACTATGAGCTAGGGGGATAGGAGCTTGGCCAGTGTGATGAGGCAGAAGCCTCAGCCCTTGTGCGTGCAGGTGAAGACGACATTGCAGTTGTAGTTGAGACCCGCGCGCGCAAATCCATGATGTGAGCGCTCCCGGCCATTGGGAGCCACGTCAGCGGCGGCCTCCGCCGTCGAGCTTTTCCCCACCGACCGACACCCTTCTCCCAACCCATTGGCAGATGCCCTGAAGGTTTGGGTTGAGATGGGAGTAGAGGGGAGTGAGGTGGAAGAAGATTGCCGGTTGACTTGTGGAGTCCACGTGGGACTTAGCCGCCACATCAATAAAACCGGAAAACAATACTACCTTGGGATCAAAAGTGATCCGGTTTTACAAGATTAGAGGAGGGTTTAGGACCGTTTAAAACTCGACGACAAGATAAGGGACCTTATATGAACTTTTTTGGGAGATGAAAAAATTCCAGCCCCAGGGGCCTGTGCATATGACCCATAGGCAGGCGACACCGCGGCGGCAGAGCGCTGCACGACCTCCGCCTCCCCAATCCGCCCCGTCTCCTTGCCCGCCGCCCCCCGACTCCCGTCTCCTCGCATTCGCTCACCGGTGAGCATCCTAATCCATCCCATCCGGCCTCGGCCTCGAATTTCGTCTCCTCGCCCGCCGCTTGCGCCGATCCCCATCCTGCGAGCAGAGGTGGCGCCCGGCGTCCTCCTGCTTCCACCGCATCGTCTATCGCCGGTGACCATCCCTCCCTCCCTATCCACACCTCATCAGGTATTCTGCGTTATCCCTCAAAAAAGTTTGGGGGTTCAACCGAAAACCGACCCCTCAACCGAAACAGGGTTAGATCTGCCTCTGCCCAGTTCCACCTACTTTCAACTTGTTAATTTTGATTTTTGTTTTTAGCAGATGTAATTTGGTTACTGAATCTCATCCAAACACCCTTAGAATAGTTGCATTAGAACGGAAAATGTAAGCTCACATAATTTGTACTCATCCTAACTCACATAAATTTCTTAAGAAGAATCTATACCACAAACTACTCATAGTCACTCAAAAAATCTTTTTATTAAGGTATATATTCTTATAAGAAGTTTTCATTCCATAAAATTTTCTAAAGGACATACTGTGACACTTGGCATTAATCTAAGGGTGTGTTTAGATCCAAACTTTGAATCCAAAGTTTGCAAAATTCCATCACATCAACATGTCATACACACACAACTTTTCAGTCACATCATCTCTAATTTCAACTAAAATCCAAACTTTGGATGGAACTAAACGCAGCCTAATTTAACATTTTTTTCTTTATTAGGTTATAAATTTTCTAAAAAACATATTGTGCCACTTGGCATTAATCTAATTTAACATTCTTTATCAGGTTATAAATTGAAACCATCGAACGTACTTTGTCTTCCCGTTTCTAAAACATTGCGATATATCTATAATATTTTAATTTCAAAAATAATTTAGACTAACAGTATAGATATTTAAATTAGGTAATTAATAAATTCAAATAAACTATAGTTTAGAATAAAAAACAAAATAATATATGCCAAGTACAATCTAATAACAATAGAATGTTAGAGACAATGTGAATTCAATATTTTTATAAAGTTTATTTTGGGACGGAGGTAGTAGTAAATTAGCCGGGAAGGCACACTCTGGTTGATCTAACCCCGAGTCAAAACCATTTCTCTACCTGGCAAACTCAGATGGCGGAGCTGACCACAGCCGCTGATGTCACCGCCGCCCCGCCGCCTCCACCTGGGCCAACTCCACCACCGGAGCCCGTGGTCACGGCCACGGTCGTTGCCGAGCAGAAGGTCTCTCCTACTGCTCCTCCGCTCGATGTGCCGGCACCCGCACCGCCGCCGCCGAAGAAGCGTAAGGTGGAGGAGGCGGGGTTCCATAACTCCGCCTACTACAAGATCCGGGCCACCGTCGCCGACCTCCGTGTTCGTTTCGTGCAGGTCTGCGCTCTCCCCGCAAAATCCCTCTCCTTTTTTTTTCCGCTACTGGTTACTTTCGCTACTGGTTACTTGCAGTGCTTGTGTGTGGGGGATGGCGTGTTGATCTCCGTAAACCTGGGGTTTTGGGGAAAAAAAATTTAAGCAACGACGCTGCTTAGGAGACCTGCCAAACTGAACTCTCGCAAGACTTGTACAATTGCACTTGATATGTAACATGGGATTTCGCATAATGATCTGTTCTGAGTTACCTACTCTCTCTTTTGAAGGTTTACGAAGCTACTGATTTCCGAAACAGTGATGCTGCTCGCGAGATTCTGAAAGGTAAAAAAATGTCTCGAATTTATGTCTTGTTAGAAAGTCACTAATTGCTCCATTTAGTTGGTAGGAATCAACCTAGGGCTCGTGAAAAAAACATGAAAATTGAACATTGGTTGGTCCAAATATCATAATTTTGTGCTTTATATAATTCCACCCAGTGAAATTTTCGGTGCTGCTCTCCTGTCTGTTACTGTGGCTGTAGCCGGGGAGGTTACTTGGGTGAAGGTGGAGCATCAGGGCTTATCGCTTCCATTGTGAATGCTCGAATGGTGTAGGCAGGAGGCAGTTGAGGCATTGTAGTGTTGTGTTTAGTTCACGCCAAAATTGGAAGTTTGATTGAAAATGGAACGATGTGACGGAAAAGTTAAAAGTTTGTGTGTGTAGGAAAGTTTTGATGTGATGGAAAAGTTGGAAGTTTGAAGAAAAAGTTTGGAACTAAACTCGGCCTAGGTGTGTGTGGCGAGTTGGTGACTGGGAGCTCCTAGAGGGACTCATCAGAGCTGAGGTAGGGCCCACACGGCGGTGCCACATCTTCAATGGGAAGCTGCTGCTTTACATAGGAAGTGGTGGAGAAGTACACTTGTTGGTGATTTTGAGTGAATGAGTGAGACTTCTATGTGAGGATTGAATGTTAATGGAGGAAAGTGTTTAATAACATGGGCGGGATTAGGGTGGAATAATCCAACTTGCATGTCAGCACTTGAATGTATAGCAGGAGGTTTTATAGTCGTAGAAGTTAGGATGCTTTGGTTCTGACCCTTGATGGCGATGCATTGCAGCTGACTGTGGTGATAATCAGGTAGCAGAAAAACCATGTGCAGGAGAACCGTGCACAAATGGCAGAAGAGGAGAGAAGCAAACGGGTACTTTATTCAGGCCCATATATGGACAAGACCACCCTCCTAAATAACCAAATCTTATGCGTAAGAACTCAGTTAATTGCCTAACTTTAAGAGCTATCTCATCTAAAGAAGTCTGTGCTAATGCATCCTCAACTAAATGGCAACTTGGCTACACCAGCTGTAGAGTGCCTTGGTCAACATGGTAGATAAATGTGTAGCTGCACCAGCTATAAGCCTGGATCAACATGGTAGATAAATGTGTATCAATATTCAATAGTGAGCACCTGAGCTGTCTATGACTTCTTATCTACCTGGTAAAAAGAAAGTGATCACATTTGTAAATCAGTACTCCAATTTATATATAAGCTTGGAAGAAAAAGAAATTCTGTTCAAGTGTATCCAAACGTAGAGGCATGGGGGTTTGTAGTCAACCATATTCAAACTGACAGAATGGTTACGGACACTTCAATGCTATTTGTACATGGCATGGCAAGATATACAATGTACTCATGCTACTTCTCCAGTAGTATACAGTGCTATGTCCAGTCTTCCTCTTTCACACACAAAAGATTCTTAAATCATGCATACACACAAAAACATAGTATCATTTTCACAAGTTACTTGTCTTCTTTTTAATATAAAAGGGTATCATTTTGTGCACTATACAAAAAGATAAATAGCTTTCTTATCATTTTACAATTTGTTTGTTGTTGGTGTAAAACACATATAATCGTATATCTACACAAAATCGTGTGTAAACATCATTTTACATTCTCTACATGTACACTAGTCTTCTATGTCAGTATAAGCAACGCGGCAAAGTGAAAAGATGTGATAAATGTATCTGCCAAATCTTATAGCTGTATAAATTAGATGGACAGTGGACATGCCCAGAGATGCAACTTCACATATCTGCCTTTAGTTTTTGCCTTAGACTTTAAACATGTGGAAATAGTCTACACGATCCATATGTTACTTTCGATTGAAATGAAGCATATAATCCATTTGCATATGTTTATCTGACATTCATAACCTATTATGACATATGCTTATCTGACATTCATAACCTATTATCAGTAAGGAATGTAAATCCTAGTTGACATTTGAAGTTTTGAACACATGAACTTTACAAAGTTTTCATTCTTCTCACATGAAAAACCTATGCAATACATTGTCCTAAATCTCACCAGTGTTAATGTTGTGAAATATATTCTAGACCACACCTTTTTTCATACAAGCTATGCATTGCATCTTTCTTTGGTACAATTAATGAATGATGTTTATCATACCTCTGTAATCCGTTTAGTTCAACAAGTCATGAGATGCGCCTCATGTTCTGTTCTACATTTTTCAGAGATCAAGGTAGTCATGGAGCTAGCCAAGAAAATGAGGCATGACCTCGGTGCCACTTTTGAACCTGCTAAGCCACCAGAGAAGCCTTTAGCTGGAGTTGTGAAGGATGGGCCAGTGGAACCACCTCCATCTGCAGAAAACAATCACGCTCCTCAGACAGGTGAGACTACAGTATGTTCAAATATTGTAAACAATATTGTGCCAACCAACCCTAACTCAGATGGTGCGGCAGAGAAGATGGGGGAAACACCAAGAAGTGAGATTGCGCAAGGGTCTTGTGTGACAGGTGGATCTCCTATCGGCTGGAATTTTCTTGTGTGGCCTGGGGGTGAGGTGGTTTACTACGGGCGGACAAAAGAAGTGTTTCGGGCGGGTCAAGCTGAAAATTAAAATGTGGTGTTCACCCTGTCTTCTGACTGGTAAAGTGGTAATGTATCATTCAATTGTGGTAGGACGATTTATAGAATGTGGTGTTCGCATTCAGTCTTTCTGACCGGCAATGTGCCAATGTATGTACTATTCAATTGTGCGAGGAATGGAGGATGAATCGTAGTAGATCTTAGCATTCTGTTGACTGAGGTAATGTACTACTGTATTCAATTGTGGGAGGGTGATTTTTGCTAAACATCTGTTAGTACTATGTACTAACTGATTTCTGCATGACATTCTGGTCTTGTATGAGATGCTCTTACGATGCACCATCATCATGTTTCTTAAACTTGCATGTAGGGATGAAAACTGCCGCAGATCCTGAGGAAGGAGGACGAACTGGGTTCAACGGGTTAGGCTGCGTCCAAACGAGATTAATTTGATTAATTAAGTATTAGCTATTTTTTTTTTAAAAAAAATGGAGCGGTCCATTAGCACATGATTAATTAATTATTAACTATTTTTTTAAAAAAATAGAGTAATTTGATTTTTTTAAACAACTTTTGTATAGAAACTTTTTTGCAAAAAAACATACCGTTTAGCAGTTTGAAAAACGTGCACGCGGAAAATGAGAGGGGAGTGTTGGTAACTTGCTCTAAACAGTCCTTATCTCTTCATTTTCTCTCTCCTTCCTTCTCTTTCTCTATCACCTCTTATCTGTGTGCCCTTCCTCTCTCGGCGGTCACAGAAGCAGCCAAGGCAACGGCCAAGAAGGACACGAGCAGGACATACAGAGCCTCGGATGCGGTCCGACGATTCATGGGTGCAAGTCTTACCCATAGTTATTAGGATCGGACCGGACATCGAATCGGTCGTAGTCTCGGTTCACGGTTTGATTGGTTCGACCAGTTGAACCGCCGGCCCAACACGGTTTAAATAAATTGGGACACATAATCTAACCACACAAGCATGCATTGCTCGGTGGTGGTTGAGGGTTCGAACCCCTCAGCCCACATTTTTCTCCTATTTTCTTCCCTCTCCCCCACGTTTCAGCCTGCGCTTTGTCCTTTCTCACCTACGTTCCCACGTGCGTCTAGTTTTTCACCGGTTCTTTCCAAAAATCGGCAGTCCAATTGGTTTTTCAAATTGATTGCACGCCATATCTTTAAACTGGGTTTTTTCACCGGTTCTTCCCAAAAACCGGCGGTCCAATCGGTTTTCCCTGGGTTGATTGCACGTCCAATCTTTAAACTGGACCGGACCGGTTGAGCCCCTGGTTCCAGTTTATTCCGGTCGGACTGCCGGCCCAGTCCGGTCCTAATAACTAGGGTCTTGCCCCGTGTGACAACGCCCTCTCCGCCATGGGTCGAGTGCATGACCATTGAGGAGAAAATGGCCATTATACCCTCGCCCCCCGTGCGACAACGCCCTCTCCGCCATGGGTCGGGTGCATGACCACAGGGGAGAAGGCCATTATACCCTCGTCAAAACGGGGCTTTGCTATAATACCATCCTACAATTGGGATTCGCCCGAATACCACTTTGAAACGGAACCAACCCTCTCTAATACCCTCCCACAATGTTTTTATCTAAATTAAAAGAATTTAGTCCTATTTTTCTGTTGAGTTGATAAAATTACCCCCATAATCCTTTGCATCATCTAAATTAGTCTCAGCTGGCTGGGAGGCTAGGGTTCCCGGTTCCCCTCGCACCGATCCGGGCACCACCCTCCTCTCGCGCCGCCCTCCCTCCCCTCGCGCCACCGAGCCATGGCCGTCCTCTCGCACCGACCCTGCCGCCGCTTGTTTCCGTTGTGGCAGACGAGGAGGAGGAGACCACCACGCTGTCTTCCCCTCGCGCCGCCACACTGTGCCGCGCCACGGCCCTCCCCTCGTGCAGACTCGGCCGTCGCCCTCCTCTCGCACCACCGAGTTGCGGCCGTCCTCTCGCGCCGACCCGGCCGCCGCCCATTCCCCTCATGGTAGATGAGGAGGAGGAGAGGAGCCGTGCTGCCACCCCTCTCCACGCGCCAGTCCGTTGCCACCCCTATACTCTAGCTCACTAACCAGCTTCTCCGACGGCACCACCTCTCACCTCGCGCCAGTCGAGGGGCAGTTTGGTCATCAAAGTTGGGAGAAAAGGGACAAAATGGGAAAAAAAAGAAAAGTAACAAAATGATTTTGATTTACTAGAAAGGAAGAAAATGGCATTTCAGTGAACTTCTCCCGGTTGAAAGTGGTATTCGGGCGGATCCCAATTGTAGGATGGTATTCAGGCGAAGCCCTGTTTTGAAGATGGTATAATGGCCATTTTCTCAACACAAGGGGACCAGCAGGGAGCTATAAATGCGGAGACGAAAGATGATGTTGTGCAGACGATGCCGACACCAGAAAGCCAGCTCGAGCCGTGGCGGGCCTCGTCTTCGTGCTCACTCCTCACTGTGCGTATTGAATCCTATCTTACTATAAAGTTATCCTCCACTAGCTCCTTAAGCTTAACATGCAAGGATGCCACATCATCATCCACTAACAAGGTGCTACATCATCATCCACTAATTAACAAGATGCCACATCATCATCCACTAACAATCATCACATTTAAACATCATGCAAACATGCTATATCTTTATAGTTTTTATAATTTAAGAGCTTTTCAAATACAAACATGTTAAATTATCATCCAACATAATTCACATAATGTTTCAATATATATCTTTATTATGTTTTATGATATCCTATATACTTATATAGTTCATCCTCAGTTAGTGCTTAAATGATTAATCTATGATCCAAATTATCTTTCTTCATTTTTCCTCTAATTAAGTCATATCACATCAATTGTTTTTAGCTTTTAGATGATTAATCTACGGTCCAAACTATCTCCCTATTTTTCTTCTTCCATAAAGTCATACCACCTTACTTTTTACGTTTGAATCAACATTTTACATACTATTTAAATTTAAATTATCATAAACCACATTATTTTACTTAATATGATGTTATCTAGCTATTTTTATCATAAACCATAATTTTTTATTTTCCAACGGAGAAACGGTTTGGGTTGGTTTTGTTCCATGGGTTGCACGGTTTGAGCCCAAACCGTGAACAGGCCCGGCCAGGTGATCAGTGATCTAACGTGTGCCCCGGAAACTACGTAATGGACACAAGATACACCTCCATAAACGCACGGCATTAACGCACGTCAGTTTCCTTTTCACCCCTCCCATAAACAGTTGCTAAAAAAAGAACGTTTGAAGATTTCAGAACCGGAAAAGGCGCGCCCCTCGATCTACCAACGGAAGCCCAGTCAGGCCACCCCCCGTTTTCGGCCCGCCCGATTCTTGCGCCACCACGAGACGAGACCCAGTTTTCCGCCACAACCGCGTTGAATCCGTGGTAGATTAACGGATCCACCGTATCACGAGTTCATAGAGAGAGATCGATCGATCGATCGATCAGAACTCTGATGATCTGACAAACTCCGAGTCCTATACTCCCAATCTCTGATACACACAGATACTTCCCATGAAGAGATTCCCCCCATCCCCCAGCGTGGCCGCGCGCGGCATGCACGACCGGCGGGCGCACCTACGCTACAAAGACGCCGCGCGCTACGTGACCGCGCGGCAGAGGATGGTTTGGGTTCTTCTCGCGGTGGCTCGCGCGGTTGGGCGCGGATGCCGGCCGTGATGGAGGAGCCGATCGATCGATCTGTATAGGAGGCAGCGGGCGGCGGCGGCAGAAGGGGAGGAGAGGATACGCATCACGCGTGGGTGGGTGGGTGGGTTGAGATGGGAGGGACGGACGGGGCGCGAGTGCGAGCGGGTCGCGGAGAGGCGACCGCTATAAGTATCATCAGGCCCCTTGCCCCCGCGCACGCGCACGCGCACGGGCAACCCCCCCTGTTGTTTTCTCTCAAGCCCTACGAAGCGGAGGCGGAGCCCCTCGGCGCGATCGAGTCGACGCCGCGCGCCGTCCCCGCATTGCCCCAGGTAAGCCCGATCGATATATCGTTGCTCCGCCGTGCGTCGTCGAATCGAAACATCTCTTTTTTTCGATGAATACATTGATCTGGGTTTCTCTTCTCGACGAAACTCGCCGAAAAGATTGATCTTGTTTTCGGAGAAGGAATCGTTCTCGGTTGTTTGAACTGTATATATATATATCTTTTGTTATTCTTTACTAGGGAAAGATTGTGCCCCCCACGGCCCCGTGATCTTACGAAAGATTGAAACTTTATTAGGGATTGTGAGTTGTTGTTGAAGAGATGGCGAGCTACGACGACGGAACCAATGTAAGTCGTAAGATTTCTCCTGCGCATCAATACGAAGAATTAGCAGTTTACTGCATTGCAGCATTGCTAATTGCTAACATATAACATTGATCGTAAATGGCTTTTTCCAGCTCGTGGACGATGAATACGATGACCTGGATGATTTCATCGTCGATAACGACGACGACGTGGTGTTAGGTGAGGAGCAGCAAGATGAATTTGAGGAGGAGGAAGAAGAACAAGAGGAAGAGGAAGAGGAAGAAGAGCCTCCGGTCGGGCAAGTGGAGATCCTTACCCTCAGGGAGCAATTGAAGGCGGACATCAGGAGAAAAAATCAGGCACAACAGGGCGCCACCGCCGGCAGGGCTAGCTGCTCGTCGTCGGTGCAGCCTCTGGCCAAGGATAGGTACGTTGCATTGCATTGCAGATTGCACTGCATGATGTTTCTGCTGCCTTATCTTTTTTTTTAACATGAAAATTATAGTTTCTCTCCCAGTTGTTAACAGAAATAATCGCTTGCAGATTTGGTAGCTTCTTTGGGCCATCCAGACCTTCACTTGCTCGCAGAGTCATCGAGGAAGGCTGTTCATCAATAATCAAAGAAAAACAGAACGTACCATCCAACGTATGTACTCCTGAACTTAATCTTGCTGAAATTGGTTCATTTTTATTTTTCTTAAAGATCCAGCAAACGTGAAACTTTGATAATTGAATTCCAACGTAATTATTTGCAGAAAAGCAGTGTTTCTTCTGCTTCAAAAAAACAACCAATCCCAAGCGGGCAGCAGCAGAAACCGAAGTTTGTTAAAGAGGTATGGATCATTTAGGATTAAATATCACCAGGTTATGTTGCTTGCAGCCCTTAAAAAAGGATTACGATGCATTAGTTTTGACCTGTGATTCTGCATTGGTCGTTTGGCATTTGCAGGAGAAAAGAAAGGTCGATGCACTCCGTCAGAATCGGGATTATTCATGTCTGTTCTCGGATGATGCTGATACTCCACAGGCTACAAAGGAACAACCTGACAACATGCCTGTTTTGCCTATGAAATATGGTACCTTTTTAAGCTTTTATTATGAATACATATGATATGATTCCTACTTCCTTCCATTCCTGGACAAATTTCTCACTTGTTTGGTATTACAGATGTTGGAGACATTGCATCAACCAGCAAACTTATAAGTCAGACCGACAAAGTATCAAAAGACAGCGGATTGAAGGGACCTTCCATTCAGAGTCGTGTAGGATTAGTCGGAAAGGAGCCTCATCCAAATACGAAGAGGACGATCGCTTCTTCTGCCAAAAATGGATCCAGCCTGCCTGCCATGAAGAAAATTCAGAGGGTACAGCCATCCTCAAATGGCCAGAAGATGCAGCAAACACTGCAGAGCAAGAGGCCTCAGGCAATGTTGTCACAAAGCCACGGGCAGCAGTCTCTGCAATCTCGGAAGCCTAAACCATCTCTCAATGGCCAGAATTTCAGGCAAAAGGTGTCAGCCCCATTAGCACAAAAACATTTGGCTCCTTCCTCAAGACCTAAGGTAGCAGCATATAACGATTTTTCTCTCGTCTATTCTTGCTCTTAGTTCAACTTAGGATAGAACTACCAAGATGCCAATCCTATCCAGAATTTAGATTTGCAATTAAGAATATCAGCTGTTCAGGAATATGCGTTTGAATCTTCTCTATGTTTGCAGCCATCAAGTGCAGTTCACAACGATCACGGAAAGGGAAAGACAAGGCGTTTAGTCAAAAGGAAATCTAAGGAGGATGGATGTGATGAAGAGGAAGTTGACTATAAATCAATCATCAGAGGAATGTTCAAGTACGGTTGCTTCTTGTCCAATCTGTTAAATAATTTGTTAGTTTTTTCACTGGTTATCAACGGCTTTTGGTCTTCTTGTGCTGTTGTGCAGCTACAATCCTGCAAAATTCGTTGGTAGAGATGAAGATGACAGAGACATGGAAGCCAATTATGCCAGCATACAAATGGAAGAGAGAAGAAGGTACTTAAATTCCACCTTTCCATTGATCTACACCCCTTTTTTTTTGTCGGCAACAATGCAATCCTGTTGCAAAAAACGACCACCTAGCTAGCTAACATTTTTCCGTTGCTTTGGATATGCAGTGCAAGACTTGCAAGACAAGAGGACGACGAGGAGCTCCGCCGGATCATGGACGAAGAGAGGCGTGAGAAGCAGGAGAGGAAGAGGAAAAAGCTAGCGCAAAAGGCAGTAGTAGATGCCAGCCAGGACTGAACTCTTTGCCAAGCCAGTAGTGTAGTAGTTCGTTAGCAATTCAGTTATGGACAAGATTAGATTTATCTCGTTAGTGCTGATTAGTTGTGGTGATGCTCCTAGTTTATTAGCCATCTCGCTGGTGGCCACTTGAACAGATCAAAACAATAGCTTTTGTAGGTCAATTTGCAAATAACACAACGTTATTTGCATATCTCATGGGACGATGAAAAATTATCAGCGTCACCTTTATGGGTACGGGGTACCATTGCCACTACTACATACTTCTCTTATTGTTTAGGAGGCGTGCGCGTGTGTTTGTGTGTGTGTGGGGGGGGGGGGGGTCGCGATTTTGCTAAGGGCTTTCACAATACGTCTATGTGTCAGTAGAATTGAGTGTGTCATGTCTGCTGGAAATACTTCCTCTCGACGAAACTAGCGCAGGCGCCATTGTGTTTTAGCTTGGAGCCTCATCATGTCTTGGGCCTAGCAAGTGTGTATCCTGCACTGCTACTACCCTAGACACATAGAGTGGTCTTTTGTAGTAGATCTGTGGAAACCTCAACTACGACCGTTTGGTAAGGTGGCTGGACCGTTACCACCAGGTAGGGTAGCCACCTTGACCATGTTGGCGCTAAAGCCTCTAGAGTGGCCTTCCTTTGTAGATCCGTGGTAAATCTTGACAATGACCATCGGGTAGGGTGGTTGGACCATGGGGCCACCATGTAGGATAGCCACCTTTCGACCGTGGCAGCGCTCTTTAACACTAGCTCACTAGGAGGGGTTTTGGGCAATCTCCTTTACCATAGACTTAACCTCTAAGGGCCATGCAATAAAGTCACGTGAAAATAGAAGCTGTGTTCTTTTTCACAACTCCAAACTACAAGCTTCATCGTTTTCCATTTGCACATGCTTCCCGAATTGCTAAACAGTGAATTTGTGCAAAAAAATTCTATATAAAAGTTTCTTAAAAAATAAAAAAAAATATTTTTTTAAGTTTGTAATAATTAATACTCAATCAATTATGCACTAACAAGACTTCATTTTGCGTGCTGCTAATATGCTCCTCCAATATAGGTTCAAACGGATGCACTCGGACATCATGTCGATCCCACATTGAATTAATGTGTATGTCTATCACAAGTCTTTCCATATTAAATACCACATTAAATGTATACGCCTACCATAAGTTTTTCCCTATTAGATGTGCATGTCTTTTATAAGTCTCCTCTTGTTGAATTAGTTGAAAAAACAGGTGTCCCATCTAATCTGACACTATAATACAAGAAAACTAGCTGATACCCCGCGTGTTACTGCGGGATAGCTATATTGTAAATTTGGAAGATGTAATTTTAAAACTTTTGACTATTGGTACAATATCGTTACAAAGAAGGGAATATATAGTTGTAAAATTTTATTATAATTGCATGATCAACATGCTGCAAGTTAATTAAAAAATCGACATGCTTGAACGTTCTACCTGTACAATGTATTGCTATATGAATAGAAATGACATGATTCCAATTAAGATACTCCCATTTGGAAGAACCATGAACGGTAAGCAAACTGGACACTATTTTTCATCATGTACTAAATTGACTTAAGATCTCATTTTAATATTTTAAACAAATAATAAAATATTTCTTTTTCGAGAAAACAAAGAGAAAATACGGATAATGCTGCATGCATATGCTGGTATTGATCTTGAAACAACAATTGTTAGGTGTATGAATCTAGTAACGGTATTTCAAGAAACATGTTCACCTCTGAGTAAATGGGAGGAACTATGGAGAAACAAGTTCAGTGATTGCTGGTCTGAAAAACACAAAGATTTGGCACAACTTTTTATTGGTCAAATGTGAGAGTGGACCAATCCCTCAATACTTAAAGTTACCACAAATTGAAGTTACCATATTTGTAAGAGATAATCCATAAAATGCCATTGACAAGCGTCCAAGTCCCAGAAATGCCATCGACAAGTGTAAGTTCCAAGAAATGCCATCGTACAAACGATTTTGTCCCAAAAATGCCATCGCCGTTAGGGTTCCTTCCATTCCACGCCGTTAAGTTCTATAGGATGAACAATGTATTTAACGGCGCGGAATGGACGGAACCCTAACGGCGATGGCATTTTTGGGACAAAATCGCTTGTATGATGGCATTTCTTGGAACTCACACTTGTCGATGGCATTTCTGAGACTTAGATGCTTGTCAATGGCATTTTATGGATTATCTCTATTTGTAATATGTGATACATTGGCATATGAAGCTTGGTGATAAACGAATAAAAATCAGATATGAAAAGAAGCTAGATCATGTTAGACATATAGAGTACCAAAAGCCAATCACCACAAGAGATAGACATCCTTGCGATTGGTAAAGATCATCGAGTGTTGTAATATATACCAACAAATTTTCGATGTCATCTATGACAGTGGCAAACCAAATTTCATTTGACCACTGGAATTTCCTCCTTAGATGATTGAGGAAGTGCCTTCAAGCATAAATATTCCAAGAAAATCCACCGGATCAACCTAGATATGTCTAGTAGATCCATTGGAAAAAAAATAAAGGGAACGAGGAAGAGGCAGACACAATGTAGTGGTGTAGGCTTTGGGTGAGAGATGTATTAGTTAGTGGTTAGTGATAAAGTGAGATCTAATGATGCATGAGGTAACTAATAGGAAGACAAAAGGCATTGATCTAACGGTTGATTTGCATAGACGCGAGATGATCTAATGGTCTAGATGATGTGGCCTCACGGTTGATCTAATGTATCAACTATACAGGAAGAAAGGATTAGAAATGATAGAGTATATATAATAGTACTAGCATTAACAGTGAGTGTTACTGTATGTTTCAATACAAGCTAGCTGTATATAAGGGCGTAACGCTCATTCAGGCTCCCTCTGAGAGAGAGCGCGTGCTTATGACTACTGTTGGTTGGCCAATTGCTGATAATACACTAAATAGCATATTAGTGATAAAAAATAATTTATGATTAACAATTTTATATATGTGTTCTTCATGAATCATGAATTAAAAGCCAATGCTGAAAAAGAAACCACTATAGAAAAAAAAAAACCCCTCAAAATCAACTCCAAAATTAGAGTAAAATAAATTGTCGGTCCCTAAACTTGTTTGCTCGTGTTATCTAGGTCCCTGAACTCTCAAAATACATTTTTAACTTCCTAATCTTCTTAAATGGGTCATTCTGGTCCTAGATTACCACGACCCCTCCAGGATCCTACGTGTTGCTTACGTCGCATGGCACATGAACATTCGGTCCTAAATTGTCTTTTTCTTTTTTTCTTCACCTCTACGTTTCCCTTCTCATTTTATTATCCTTTTCCCACATGAACAGGAAGGAAGAAGAGAAGAAAGGAAAAAAAATAAAGAAAGTGAGTCAATGCCCGTGTGGCATGTCATGTGACCGTCACGTAGGATCCCGAAGGGGTCATGGTAATCTGGGACCAGAATGACAGAATTTGACAAGTTCGGAAATCTGAAAATGTATTTTGAGAGTTCACAGATCTAGATGACACGGACGAACAAGTATAGGGACCAGCGATGCACTTTACTGCTAAAATTAAGTTTTAAGATTCAAATTTTGGCAACGGCTAAGTGATTGGGTTTCCACAAGAACTCTTATTATAACCTCTTTTCTTCATCCACACAAAATACAATAAGAGTATGGTTATTATATTCTGAGAGACCCAAACCTGACTAAAAAATCCGAGTTTTTTCGTGTTCTCAGTTAAGTGATCACAACCTTAAACCTCTCGTCGAACTCCAAGTTCCAACAACCATCTTCTCTTAGTTTGGATATCCTTTTAGTTATTGCGTGTCTGCATCGATTGTGCCGGTGTTTCCTGGACGCTGGTGTAACAAGACTAGTTGACAACTTGACATATGAGGTTGAATATGTACAACATTGTTTTTACGAGGGCAGCTACACAACGGGATCCCGTTGCTACAGGATATTTTAAGTGACTTATCCTTTTCCTTTTTTATGTATAGGTGAGATTCCATGTGTGCTCCCTCCTGGTACCTAGTACCATGTTCAGAGGCATGATACCTATCCGATTCCTCCTTGGTATCATGCGCGCACAGCATAGGCTGGTACCTGATACTTGGTACCCGATACCCGGTACCTGCAGGTACCTGGTACCAGTATGGTACCAGTTGCATGGTGTGTGGTACCTGTGGTACCTGGTAACTGGTACCTGTGGTACCTGGTACCTATGGAATTGAAAGGATTCAAAAGGATGGGACGGGGGAATTGATACCACCCATACAAGCCGGAGAAAAAATCAGCAAGGAAACCATCAAGCAAAAAAAAAAAGAAAAACACACATGAGGAAGGGATGCAAGCGACGATGAAGCATTGCCGGTGTGCGGGGGGAGGGGGTGGAGGAATCAGTCAGAGTGGAATGGAGTGCGAGGGGTACCTGCAAGGTATCGAAAAAATGGATGCGAGCAGCGGCGCAGCACCGCCGGCGTGGAGAGGAGGATAGACGGAGGGGAACAGCCGCGGTGCAGCACTGTCGCATGGGGGTGGAGGGACAGAGGAGATCGCGGTCCTCGTCGGCGCGAGAGCCGTGCCGCGCCACGCGTTCCTGAGGCAGCGGGAGCAGCTCCACGTGGCGCTGCCTTCCCCGGCGCCGGCGAAGGAGAGCGGGCCGAGCGCCTTCCACGCCTGACGCGCCACCCCGCACAGCTAGCCGCCATCGTCGTCTCTGTGCTCATGAGGGTGGGAGAGAGAGAGAGAGAAGAAGAAGAAGAAGAAGAAGAAGAAGAAGAAGAAGAAGAAGGGGATAAGATGGAAGAAGAGGATAAGATGCTAGTGGTCGTAGTTATCCCATGTGTACGGGATACCGTTGACTAGTTTTTCTGTTTTTTTTACTAGTACCATGCCCATGCATTGCAACGGGATTTGAAGATAGAATGACAAATGGTTTTTACATGGTTCAGTTTTTTTCCAATCGGGTTTTTTTGGTGGGTCAATTTTCCCGTGATAATTTTTCAGGTGGTTGGTTTTTTTTAGGCACGGTGGGTTCTTACCTGGGGAGTGCAATGGTTAGGGAGGAGAATGATTCCACTTGTAAAATAGTAGAGATATCCATTACTCCCTTCGTACTCGTAAAGGAAGTCGTTTAGGACAATGTTTAAGTCAAACCTTGAGAACATAAATCATGAATAACTCTCAAGTTGTTGAGTTTAAAAATATAAAAATTATGTGTATAGATTTGTCTTGAAAAATATTTTCATAAAAGTATA